TTTTTTTTTCGTTTTTGTTGTTTGTTAAAGTTGTTTGTATGTATCCATCGTTTGTTTAAACAAACAAATATATTCATTCAGAGATTTTAAATAAACATAAAAAAAAAACAAGTAAATGTTGTGATAAAAACATTTTAAATGTAAACGAAACCAGCTGATTTTATTTTATTTATTTTTATGTATTTCTGTTAAATTTCAATGTTACGAAGGATTTACGGTTAAATAAAAAAAAATTTTCTTCTGCTTCTTTTATTGGTTTTCTTAATTTAAAATAAAGTTTCTGGGTTTTTTTTTTAGTTTAAATTCAAAAATGTTTTTTCTAATTTTATACATATATAAATACAAGAAGAGTGTGATTTTTCATGATTTTTCATTTGTATAAATTTAATATTTTATGTAAAAATCAATTTTGTTTTTTAATTGTTTTTAAAATTAAAACAAATTCGTTTGAAATAATAATAATAATGGAAGATTTTTAACGATTTATTTATTTGTTTAAAAAAAAAAATTATGAAAATGTGATTTAGAAATATTATAAATTAATTTCTTAAAAAAAAATTTCTTTTTATGAAATAATAAAGAATTTTAAAAGGTTTTTTTATAAGTTGATAAAAGTTACAAAATGTTTAAGTAGTTTCTTTTTTCTTTTTTTTTTTTTTTTATATATATTTTTATGAAAGACACGTTTGTAAACTCATCAATAATATTTATATTGATTTTTTTTTCTTTTTAAAACGATATATCGAAAGTTAAAATATCGATTGTTGATTTGACATAAATTAATTAATTAATTTATTTATTTATTTTTCAGATATATATTTTTTTAGAAAAATGAATGATAAAAAAACAAAACAAAACGTTTCGATATCTTTTGAAAAAACGAAAGAAAAAGATTCGAGAATAAAATCGAAATTATTAACGTCGTTTAAAAATAATTTTCAAAAAAATTATAAAGAAAATAATAAATCAGGTAATTGTTTCCGGTTTTGTTTTTCCGTTTGTTTCCGTTTCCGTTTTTCCGTTTGTTTCCGCTTTTTTTAAATAATTGTTACATTCAATTTCGTTTCCACAGATTCACCACAGTATGTAGATTTTGATAAATTAATCGATGATGACGATAATAATTTTCCATCGTATAGATACATCCCGGAAAAATTAGAAATACTTTCCCAACAAACGGGTTTGGAAAAACAACAATTAAGAACACTTTATAGAGCATTTAAAGGAGTTTGTCCGAATGGTGCCATTGACGAATCAACATTTAAAAATATTTATTGTCAATTATTTCCGCTTGGCGGTTCGTTAATTATTTAAATTGATATTATTATTATTATTATATTTTATAAAATTTATTATAATAATCTCTCTTTTTTTTTTTTTTTAGGAGATGGAAACGCGTACGCAAAATATATATTTAAAACGTTCGATGAAAAAGAAAATGGTTGCATAACTTTTAGTAATTTAGTTACTAATTTAGCTTACGTATTAAATGGCGGCCTTAAAGAAAAACTTCAATGGATATTTCGGTAAAACTATGAGAATTTTCTTTTTTTTTTAAATATCAAATAATATTTAATTGATATTTTTTTCAGTAGATTATACGATATCGATGGCGATGGTAAAATAAGCAAACAAGAAATGTCGACAATCATTCAAGCCATTCATAATTTATTGAGTCCAAACGAAGAATTATCGAAAGAACATACAAATTTAGTTTTTAAGGTAATTAAAATCAATAATAATAATAATTTTTTTTTCATCTGAACCTTTTAAATAATTATAAAAATTAATATTTTTCCAAATAGAAATTAGATTTGAATTCTGATGGAATTATAACATTGGATGAATTCATTTCTTATTGTTTTAACGTAAGTAATTTTTTTTTATGTTTTACTAAAATTATTTTTTTATCCATATCACTTTACACGTGAACGTCTTTTTTTTTTGTTTTAGAACGAAGTTATTTGTAAAACTTTTGAAAAATTTACCGTTTGGTAAAGTATAATATTACCGGAAGTAATTATTATTATTTTTAAAACAATTTAAGTTAATGTACTAAACAATTAGAAAAAAAAAAAAAAAAAATTATGCATAAAAAATTTATTTAAAAAAATAATGTAATCTGATGATAAACATTGTTTACAAAATGTCGTTTATTGTTTACTATAATAGAAATTATTATTATTATTATTATTAATAGTAGTAGTAGTCAGTCTACATGATTCTACACGATATGTGTGTATGTGTTTTTTTTTTTTTTTTTTTTTTAAATTTGTTTTCTCTTACATGATAAAAAAAGTTTTAAAATAATAAGAAAAAAATTTAAAGTTTCGTGTCATCTTCCATTAGTGCGTCATAAGATTTTTGATCTTGTACCATTTTTAAAAAGACTTTATATTTTTTCAAATGAAACCTTAAAAAGAAAAAGAAGAAAATTTTTTATTAAATTAAAAGTTAAAAAAAAAATTCTTTGTTTCCTCTTGGTTGTAATAATAAGCATTGCTTACTGTTCGTCTAATTTGGATGGTTGATACACGTAAGATGATCCCGTCATGTTATTAATAGCTTGTTGCACTCCTTTCCATTCTTCTGCTGCCACGGCACCCAACATTGCTGCACCTAAAAGTACCGGTTCTTGGGATTTTGGTAATAAAACCGGTAAACCGATAACATCAGCGTGAGTTTGAGCAAAAAGTTCATTTTTACTGAGGCCACCGCACATTGAAATCGTTGAAAATTTATCGTACCCGTGAGAATGAAAGGTTTCTAGGATTAGTTTTGTACCATACTGTAAAAATTTTAAAAAATTTTATTTATTACTTGTGTTGTAATTTAAAAAAAAAAAAAAAAAAAAAAAAAAAAAAACAAAAATCTCACAGCCAGTGCTTGTATTGTAGCCAAATATTTTACAGCAAGATCTTCCTTATCAGTAGATAAACTAAGCCCTGACATCTAAAACAAAAAAAAAAAAAAATTTATTTAAACAAAAATTTTTTATCAAACTTTCCCAGTGAGTTAGTTAATAAATTTTAAGTACCATTCCTAAAATAGAAGGATCCGCAATCGGTGAACGATTACCATGAAAATCAGGCCAAACGTGAACCTTGGTTGTTAGTCTAGACAGAGATGGAAGTTTTTTTGCAACAGCCATCTCACTGAGTAATTTATTTAAATAATCGTAGATTTCCCTGAAATTTGACATTTTTTGTATACGACGAATTTTCTTTTTCCCCTTTTTCACTAAATTAAAATCTTACGTGTTTTCATTTATATTGTTTTCTTGTATTGATGGAAATGCCGGATGACTTTTTATTAAAAAATCAATCAATTTTCCTGTCGCACTTTGACCGGCTTCGTTTAAATAAATATTTGGAATCATTGCACTGAAGTATGGGCCCCAAACGCCGGGAATCATTTTCGGGAATCGATTTAATGCCATGTGGCACGTTGAAGTTCCACAAATTAAACCTAAGCGTAACATTTAAAAACTTTAAAATTTTTACTTTTTTTTTTTTTTGAAGACGAATTTTTAATCAATTACCGAGTTTTGTTTCAAAGGAAGAAGATATTCCTGGAGCTACTGCTGTTAGTAATCCTAATCCACCAGCATGTGCATCTATGAGGCCAGCTGCCACGCAAGTTCCAGGTATGAGTCCAAAATCTTTAGCAGCCAGTGTATTTAAACCGAATCCGCAAGTTTCTCCCGGATTTTTAACGTGTTTTCCTAAAAATATTTTTTTTTAACAAAAGAAAACACTTTTACTTTTTGTTATTATAAAAACCTATGAAAACAAAATTGTTGCATAATTTAAACATTTAAATTTTACAACGACAACAAAATTAGTATTTCTAGGTGAAATTAAAATCCAATCACGTGATTTACAAAACCGTACCTATTTTAATGGCTTCATCATTTAATAAATCTTCCAGGCCAATCAATGAAAAATAATTTTTATCCCAACCTTTCCTTTCATTTTCATCTGCAATGTAAGTCCACTTACAAACCACCGTACACAATGACCTAAAAAGAAAATTTATTTTTTAACTATTAAGTTTAGAATTAAAAATTTTGCATTGCAAAAGATAGAATAGATTTTATAATTTATTTTTTTAATGTACACTTCGAGAATGAATGTTAATAATTTTTTTTTTTTTTTTTTTTTTCACAATAAGGAGGCCCACACCTGCTGGCGTAGTTCAATCTTCAGGAGATACCTAGAATGATCGCCTGTTGCTTTCCAAGTTAAAAAATCAACAAGATCAAAAAAATATTTCGATTGTGTCCAAGTGGATTTAAGATTTTTTTTCAGCCACATTAATTTAGGTGTTTGCATTTCGGGTGATATTTTTCCACCGACATATTTTAATACTTCCAATTTATGTTTGTTTATAAATTCTGCTTCGGATTTTGCTCTGTGATCCATCCATAAAATTATATTTTGTTCGTTGGCACCTGTTACGATAATAGATAGTGATCGAGTTAAAAAAAATTTTTTTTTTTTTTTTTTTTTTACAATGAATTGTTAAAATTGATAACAGGATTATTTTTAATTTAATAATCGAGACGCATCATCCAAATTGTTAATTTACCTGTGGGGCTCACCGTCAGTGGTTTATTATCGTTTCCAATACAAACTAAAGAACAAGTTGCATCGAACCCGATTCCTTTAATTAAAGAAGGGTCAATAGACTTTGTAACTGCCTGAAAATATTTTACATAATAATAATAATTTTTTGTTTAAAAAAAAAAAAAAAATAGTTATAAACATTGTTGAAACCAATCAAAACAGATAACATTTTTAAATGGAATAAAGGTCAAAAGATTTATATTTTTTTTGTAAGTATTGTCAAAATGTTTCAACATTTATCTGTAATTTTTTTTTTTTTTTTTTTTTAAATTGAATTTTAATTGTTTTTTTTTTTTTTGCTTTTTTAGATAAACTTGAGATTTGTTGTTTTTACAACCTTAACGACTTGAATGCAACTTTTCCAAATATCTTCGGAAGATTGTTCGTAATAATCTTGTTGAGGATTCCATGTTTTTATTGAAGAAGTTGCCGTTTGTAAAATATCACCATTAGGACGAACCAAAGCTGCTCTCACGCTTCCTGTACCAACGTCAATTCCAATGTAATAACGTTCCGTCATTACAACCGGCATCTAAAAAACAATTTTTTTTTTTTTTTTTAAACAGGTTAATTATAAAATATAAATATCAATTGAAGTAATGAATAATTCCCTTTTTTTTTTTTCTATTTAAATAAAATTTAATACACGAAAGAAAGAAAAAAATTCTCTGAATTTTATTAAAACTATATTTGATAAAATTTGTTACCGAGTTTAATTAAATTAGGGGGGGGGAGGGGAAACGAAATAATTTTATTAACATTTAACAAAAAAACGAGTAACATCGTAATCTTTAAATGTAATATTAAAAATAATTTATATTTTTTTTAAATTTATTTTGTTTTCATATATAAAGCAAACAACGATTTAAAATATGTAGACGTTAATCAATATCATTTTTCAATAATTTTATTGTTACAATGTGAATTTTTACAATTGTAATAAAAAATCAATTGTTAAAATCTTTCTTGTTCAATTTAATAAGAAAAAAAAAGTAATTTATTTTATAAAACGAAACGTGAAATAAATATAAATATATTTACTACAGTACATGGTTTAATCAATAAGTGTTAACTCGCTTACCAGTTCAGCAAGTATTTTACTAATTTAAAATTTTCCCTCGACGGAACGTTGCTGACTGATTAAAGTTGCGCATGTTCCAGGTTAAGTTATCGGACCCATTTAACCACAGACGTTAATTTAAAATTAACTTAGAGTCGTAATACGATTTCCCATTTTCGTTTTTTAAACCCTCTATGGTTTCCCCGTACAGTTTATTTTCGTTTAATTTATTTATTATGAAATAATATTTGTGTTTAAGTTTTTATAATTATTCCGACATGAAATTACTTAGAAGGAAAGAAAAATAAAAATTTACTTCATTGTTTTTTTTGTTTTTTTTGTTTTTTTTTTTTGTTTTTAAATATTAATTTTATGTAAATCGTTAAAAGTTTACAAAATGTCAAATACTGGAGTTTTACCGTTTGTTCGAGGAATTGATTTCACACGTAACGATTTCAGCGTGAGTTTTATCGATATTTTCGTTATTATCGTCTATTTAATTTATAATATGTCTTGTTATAATGTTAACTTTACTCGAGCAACAAATTAAGTTTTACTTTCAATATATTTTTTCTATTTATTTTTTTCATAGCATGTAATATAATATTATGAATAAAATTTTTTTTTTTATAATGTAAATGTTTTATATTTCACACAATTCTTGTTTCTGTTTTCTAATTTAAACATTTTTCATTTAATTTAAAAAATTTTATTTACTATATAATTTTAAAAAAATGTTTTTTTTTTAGGATGGCCAGTTCCCTGAAACTGTTGGTCTTATGACTGGGGTACAATGGTTAAAATTAGATCGAACAAATCTCAGTGAAATCCCTGAGGAAATGGGTAGACTAGTAAAATTGGTAAGTTTTAATTGTAAAATATTAAGTAGCAAATTTTGTTACAAATTTTACAATTTAATTTTTTTTAATTTTAAGGAGCATCTATCTTTGACGAGAAACAGTTTGGAAAATCTATATGGAGAACTTACAGAGTTAAATTGTTTAAGAACATTAAATGTGAGGCATAACAAGTTGAAAACGTCTGGTCTTCCAGCAGATTTATTTAAAATAGAAGAGTTGACAACTTTGGATTTAAGTCATAATAATCTAAAAGAAATTCCTCCAGGATTAGAAAAAGCCAGAGGGCTACTAGTTTTAAATATTAGTCATAATCAGTGAGTAATAATAGATCGTGTAAAATTACACAACACTTTTTCACGTTTTTTATTTATATTCGCATTTTTATTATTTTTTTAGCATTGAAACAATTCCTAGTCAACTTTTCATAAACATAACAGATTTATTATTCTTAGATTTAAGCTATAACAAACTAGAAACACTTCCTCCTCAAACAAGAAGATTAGCCAATTTAGAAACATTAATTTTAAATAATAATCCCTTGGGCTTGTTTCAACTTCGACAACTTCCATCGTTAATGAATTTAGAAACTTTACACATGAGAAATACACAAAGAACATTGGGAAATATTCCAAGCAATTTAGACAGTTTAACAAATTTATCTGATTTAGATTTATCCCAAAATGATTTGCCTAAAATTCCTGAAGCAGTATATTCACTAATTAATTTAAAAAGGTTAAACTTAAGTGATAATCAAATTACAGAACTATCTTCAGCTGTAGGTAAGTGTTATTATTATACATTTTTTTTTTTTATGTAGAAAAAAAATTAGTTGAATAAGATTTCTAATTAAAGTTAAACCAAATTTTTATATAATTACAATCTTTCAATTTCGAATAGTGTACATTGCAGTTTGTTACATTTACAAAAATTGTCAAACAATTATTTCGATTAAATTTTAAGACATGAAAGTTCATATTTCAATGGCAGCAGAAATTTAACTTATGAAGTTTGATTATTTTATTTATCTAAATTTAAATATGAAATTTTCATTTTTATTAATTTTTTTTTTTTTTTTTTTCAGAAAATCTACAAAAATTAAAAACGTTGAATTTGTGTAGAAATCAATTAACGGCTTTACCAGCATCCATTTGCAAAATTTCTACCTTAAAACACCTTTACGTTAATGACAACGAATTAGATTTTGAAGGGATTCCATCCGGTATTGGAAAATTAGGCTCTCTTGAAATTTTTTCTGCATCGAATAATCACATCGAAATGATTCCAGAGGGACTTTGTCGTTGTGGTTCTTTAAAAAAATTAATTTTAAATTCAAATAGACTGATTACGTTGCCTGATGCTATTCACCTCTTAAGTGACCTTGAAAACTTAGATTTAAGAGATAATCCAGATTTAGTAATGCCGCCAAAGCCGTTTGAAACTCAAAAAGGTTCTGGAGTAGAATTTTACAATATAGATTTCTCTTTACAAAATCAACTTCGCTTAGCAGGAGCTAGCGTACCTACTCCAGTATCATCAGCAAATGCCATTAAAGATCCTATTGCTCGGAAATTGCGTTTAAGACGAGGAAGAAGAGATCAAGAAGAAGCAGATCAAGATCAGGCTAAAATTTTAAAAGGAATGAAAGACATTGCTCGCAACAAACAAAAATCATTAGAAGAAGTCAAAGCAGAATCTATAAAAGCAAAAAGGTGGGATGAAGCATTGGAAAAGCCATCCTTGGATTATTCAGAAATATTCGATGAAGAAGATGGTCAAATCCCAGGACTCACCATTTGGGAAATAGAAAATTTTTTACCTAATCGTATCGATGAAGTTGCTCATGGTAAATTTTACGAAGGTGATTGCTACGTTGTGCTCAAGACGTTTGTCAACGAATTTCCAGCTTTGGATTGGAAAATTTACTTTTGGATCGGAGAAAAAGCTAGTCTTGATAAAAGAGCGTGTGCAGCAATACATGCTGTCAATTTGAGAAATTTTCTGGGAGCTCAATGTAGGACAATAAGGGAAGAGCAAGGAGACGAATCTGAAGAATTTCTCGGGCTGTTTGATTCAGACATCACATATATTGAAGGTGGAAGAACTTGTAGTGGTTTTTTTACGGTTGAGGATATGCAGTACGTAACTAGATTCTACAGAGTTATACCCACCGGAAATTCTGTTCATTTGGAGCCAGTTGAAGTTAGTTATACGTCACTAGATCCCCGATTTGTTTTTATTTTGGACAACGGCTTGAGTATTTACTTGTGGTATGGTAAAAAAGCAAAAAATACAATGAAATCTAAAGCTAGATTATTAGCTGAAAAAATTAATAAAAACGAAAGGAAGAACAAAGCTGAAATCATTCAAGAAAATTCCGAAGAAGAAAGTGAAGAATTTTGGACATTGTTGGGTTGCGCAGAAGGAAAACAACCTTTAGAACCACCTGCGGTATATAGTTTTCCTTTTTTTTTCTCTCTCTCTCTCTCTCTAATTTTGATATATTCGTCATTTTGTGAAAGTAAATTTGATTTTTTTTTTATTCACAGGAACATGTCGATATTAATTATGTTCCATTCGTTCCACGACTCTATCAAGTTCTCCTGGGAATGGGTTATTTGGAACTGCCACAAGTAGAAGTTCCGGGCCAAAAACTAGTCCACACACTTTTAAACAGCAAACACGTGTACATACTTGATTGTTGGTCTGATGTATTTGTTTGGTTTGGTAAAAAATCAACTCGTCTTGTTCGAGCAGCTGCGGTTAAGCTTTGTCAAGAACTGTATTCCATGATGGCCAGGCCTTCTCATGCAATGGTAACAAGATTGCAAGAGGGAACCGAATCACAAGTTTTTAAACTCAAGTTCATAGGTTGGAATGAAGTTATTGCGGTAGATTTTACAAGAACGGCTAGTTCTGTACGGAAAACGGGTGCCGATTTGGCCAAGTGGGCGAAAAATCAAGAAACCAAAGCAGATTTAGCAGCTTTATTTACGCCCAGACAACCTGCAATGCCTCCTTCTGAAGCCCAACAATTAATGGAAGAATGGAATGAAGATTTAGAAGTTATGGAACCATTCGTGTTGGAGGGTAAAAAATTTCAAAAACTACCCGAAGAAGAATTGGGACAATTTTACAGCAAAGATTGTTATGTTTTTCTCTGTCGCTACTGGGTTCCCCCGGAAAGTCCCGATGAAGATTTAACCACGGATGATGATTTTCAATGCGTTGTTTACTTTTGGCAGGGAAGGGAGGCATCTAATATGGGATGGTTGACTTTTACATTTAGTTTGCAAAAAAAATTTAAAGCTTTATTTGGTGATAAGTTAGAGGTTGTGAGAACTCATCAGCAACAGGAAAATTTGAAATTTATGGCTCATTTCAAGAAGCATTTTATAATTCATCAAGGAAAAAGAAAAGAGAAGACGGATCAAAATCCAGTTGAATTTTATCATTTGCGATCAAACGGCTCTGCTTTGTGTACGAGACTTATACAAATCAAACCCGACGCCTCATTTCTTAATTCAGCATTTTGGTAAATATTTGTTTGCCTCAAAATAATTCGAAACTACATTTCACCGGTTTTAATCAAATTTATTTTTTTTTAGCTACATTTTAAAAGTGCCGTTTAATCAAGAAGATAATCCCGACGCTGGCATCGTCTACGTATGGATCGGTTCCAAAGCGAGCCCGGAAGATGTACATCTCATTGAAGAAATAGCAGAAGAAAAATTTAACAGTCCATGGAGTAGTTGTCAGTACATAAACGAAGGTGAAGAACCAGAGAATTTCTTTTGGGTCGCATTAGGAGGAAAAAAACAATATGAAACAAATGCGGATTTTATGGAATACACGAGATTGTTCCGATGTTCGAACGAAAAGGGTTATTTTACGGTTTCCGAAAAATGCACAGATTTTTGTCAAGACGACCTTGCCGATGATGATATAATGATTTTGGACAACGGAGAACAAGTTTTTTTGTGGCTCGGAGCTAAATGCAGTGAAGTCGAAATAAAATTAGCGTATAAATCAGCTCAAGTAAGTTCTTGTTTAAATGTATTTTGTATTAAATGAATATTTTTTCGTTTATCTTAAATGTTTATTTTTTTTATTTTTTTCAGGTTTATATTCAGCATATGAGAGCCAAGCAACCGGAAAAACCTAGGAAATTATTTTTAACATTGAAAAATAAAGAAACAAAAAGATTTACCAAATGCTTTCACGGTTGGGGTTTACATAAAAAGCCACCAGAATGATATAAATGTCCGGTTTTTTCCTTCATTAAAAAAATTTCAAAGCCTTCCTCTATCGCTTTATCAAACTTGCGCATATTTTTTAACATTTCTTTCAGTAAATTTTTATTTTTTACTAAATCGCTCCTAATTCGATCTAACACGCTTTTGTTTTAATGGAATTTTACTTTTTTGTTTTTTTTTTTTTTTTCAATGAAATAATATTTTTATGAAGTCTTGATATGGAATTTAGTCAGTATGTTTAACATTTTTTCGTTTCGTTCGTTATTTAAAAGACTGTAATACAAACTTTTTAATTTTTTTCTATATTATAATAATAATAATAATAATGAATTTGGACACATTTTTAATCACAGTTTATAAAATTAACTTACCAAAGTATTAAAATTTAATTTTATTATTATTATTTATTTTATTTATTTTAATAAAATTACTAATATTAATTTTCTTTTTTTTTTTTTTGTGTGTGTGTGTGTTTAATTATCATTATATTACTTAATTAATTAATTAATTAATGTTAAGATCATTTAATCTTAAAATACTTTATTATTTCATAATATTTTAACAAAAAAAAAAAAAAAAAAATGGAGAACCCAATTGTAAATTTTGTAAAATTATTTCAAAATAATTTAATAATTATTTTTATATATTTATAATTTTCGATTTAAATTTTTCTTTATTTATTTGTAAAAAATTAACGATTTATATATATATACATATTTATTTTTTCAATAAAATTATTATAAATTTTATTAATTTAAAATAATGAAATCATTAATTAGCTTTCATTGATTTGTGTTTTTTTTTTATTTACTTAAAAATTTTTCCTCATATGGAAATTTATTAAATTTAGTTACTTGCCGTATCAGTTTTCAATACAACTTTGCATTTTTTATTAGATTAATAATCATTATGTTTGCAATTATTTATTTAAAAATAAAAAAAAAAATATTTTGGTTTTAATTAAAGGTCACAATATTTTTTGTTTACATTGCAGAATTTTAAAATGGCGCGCTAAAACGTATTCTGATTTTTAAATATGGCGGATTTTTAAACATGGCGGATTTTTAAATATGGCGGATATTTATTTCATCGTGTCATTAGGTAATAGCTTACACTTGAAGTCAGACGGTAAGTAATTGTCGTTTTTATTTATATTTACCTGTATATTAATAATTAATTTTATATTTTATTATTGTTTATGACTTTTTAAAGAAATATCACAGTTAATAAGTTTGTAGTTTTTATGTAGGTAAAAAAAAAAAAAAAAAAAAAATTGAGTACGGCAAATATTTTTATTTTATGAAAAGTTTATTTTGTCACCCTTCAAGATTATCAAAGCAAAATGTCTGGGCCCAGTACAAGTGATTCTCAATGTTCTATTGCCCAAAAAACGTGGGAATTTGCTAATAATATAGAAACGATAAGTCCCATTGATGAAATTTATCGATATGATAAAAAACAACAGCAAGATATTTTAGCCGCTAAACCGTGGGACAAGGAGTGAGTGAATTAAAAAATTATTATTGTTATTAAAATTTAAGTAAATATTATACATTAAAATATTTTTCAGTCCTCATTTTTTTAAAGACATTAAAATCTCAGCTTTGGCATTATTAAAAATGGTAATGCATGCTAGATCAGGAGGAACATTGGAAGTTATGGGTTTACTCTTAGGTAAAGTTGATGCCAATACTATGATAGTAATGGATTCTTTTGCACTTCCAGTCGAAGGAACTGAAACTAGAGTCAATGCTCAGGCGCAAGCTTATGAGTATATGACTGCTTATATAGAAGCTGCTAAAGTCGTAAGTTGTAAATAAAAAAAAAAATTGTATTCGTTATTGAGGTGTCTCCGATTAAGTTACCAAGTATTTAACTTTAGGTTGGAAGACTAGAAAATGCAATAGGATGGTATCACAGTCATCCAGGTTATGGTTGTTGGCTTTCTGGAATAGATGTTTCTACTCAAATGTTAAATCAAAATTTTCAAGAGCCTTTTGTAGCAATTGTCATAGACCCAGTTAGAACAATATCAGCGGGAAAAGTATGTTTAGGTGCTTTTCGAACTTATCCAAAGGTATAATTTTATTGAGTTATTTATTTTTATTAAAAATTAAAACTTTTTTTATAAATATTTCTTTGCAAACAATATTGTTTAGGGTTATAAACCGGCAAATGAAGAACCATCTGAATATCAAACAATTCCATTAAACAAAATAGAAGATTTTGGCGTTCATTGCAAACAATATTATTCACTTGATGTTACATATTTTAAATCATCATTAGATAGACGATTGTTGGATTCTCTTTGGAATAAATATTGGGTGAGAGTAAAATGAAGTTAATTTTCATTAAAATATTATTTTATTAATAAGGACTAGTATAACAATAAATTTTACCAAATGTATAATTACGTAGGTTAACACGTTAAGTTCTTCGAGTCTTTTGACAAATGCAGATTATACAACATGCCAAATATTTGACTTGTCTGACAAATTGGAACAATCTGAAGCAGCAGTTGGTAGATCTGGTTTTACACTAGGTTGTTCGGATCCACTCGATAAAAGAACTGAAGATAAATTAATGAAAGCTACAAAAGATAGTTGTAAGACGACAATAGAAATAATACACGGTTTGATGGCACAAATGATCAAAGATAGATTGTTTAATCACATAAAAAGAAAAAATGATATGTAGGCTCATTTATTACCAAAAAAAAAAAAAAAAAAAATTACTTTAAATATAATTATTATTTCATGAAATTTTTCTATAGTGTGACCAATCAATATCATCTATTCTCGAAAAATAATTTAATTATAAGAATTTTTTTAAAAAAAATTTCTATTAATTTATTTTATGTAAATTAATCAAAATAATAATTAATTTAATAATAATGCTTTCTTTCATCATTAAATAATAATAATAATAATAATAATAATAATTTTTTCGGGTATATATTATTATTTAAAACCTTAAGGGTGGCAAAATAATAATTTTTTTTTTCTTTTTCAAATTTAAATAAATTTTTAATTTAATATATATATACGTATCGACACCACGTGATAATTTTAAAATAAATTTAAAATTTTAAATAATAATATTTAATAACTATCACGTGACTTTTTTTTTTTTTTTTTTTTTTAAAGGAAAGGAAAAGAAAGGTTTTAAAAATTATTATACGAATACATATAAACTTTAAATTTTTTTAATTTTTTAATATACTTCTACTTTTATTGTAGACAAAATAATTTATTATTTCAGATGATGAACGATGATTGTTATTAAGTATTTTCCAATAATAATAATAATAATAATAATAATTTTTAACATAAAATGAAGAGAAAAACAAAAAAAAAAAATTCGTTTTAAATAATAATAATGAATAATTTATGTATATATATATATAATACAGTCTGATTCGAAAATATTTTTAAAAATAATAATAATGATAAAAGTAAATAAAATTCAATTAAAATATAAATTACATAATAAATGCAATAATAATAATAATAATAATAATAATTAGTTAAAATTATGAAGAAAATACCGAAAAACCAGCAAAATTTTTTATATAAAGCACAAATCCCAATAAGTCTAATAAAAAAAAAAAAAATTTAATAATTAATAATTTTATCAAAGCTCTGTTTTTATTTATTTATTTATTGAAAACTTTTATTAATGATTTAAATTTTAAAAAATAATAATGATAATAATAAATTTCCCGTCGATAATAATAATACTCTCTCTATCTCTCTTTCTATCAAATTTAAATTTAACTTATTTCATTTAAAAAAAAAAAAAAATTCTCATTTGATTAAAAATAAAATTGATTATTATTATTATTATTATTATTATTATTGTACAATCAGTACGAATATAATAAATTATACATAAACGACTTTAAAATAAAAAAATCTATGGAATGTTTTATTAATCTTCAAGTCCATAACTCAAATTATTATAAACTAAGAGAAAATAATAATAATAATGTCGGTTTGTTTTAAGTAACCCGTCGTTCGTTTAATAATAATAATAATAATAATTAAGGCATGTTATTTTTTTTAAATTAACAAACTTAAAAGACTTGAGAAAAAATAATAATAATAATAATATGGATTAAACGTAAAAAAAATAATAATATTTTCAACAAGAAAGGCAACTTTACATATAAATCCAATTGTAACCTTTCAACGTTACAATAAATAAATAATTAATTATAATAAAGGCTTATTAAAGATTATTTATTTATTTTTGCCTAATTTTTCTTTCTTTTTTTAGTTAGAAATTAATTTTTTTTTAAAATATTAAATATATATATATATATATATTATTAATAGGGATTAATTATTTATTTATTTAATGACAGTTTTTCATTTAAATAATTAAAGTATGAGAACAATAACTATACGAGAATACATCCTTATATCACAGTAAATGAATTTATATTGATAGTGGCAAAATTTTATTAAATTTTTCGGTCATTTTTTATTTATTTATTTATTTAATTTATATAAAATCATCATCATCATCATCATCATCATCATCATACGTTTATAATCGTGTTTCACTCCCACTCACCTATTATTATCATTATTATTATCATTAATCAAAATTATTATACAAATGTGTTTAAATTAATAATTTTTTAACATATTTGATATGTCCATTTATTTAAAATAATTTTTTTTTTTTTTCTTTTCTTTTCTTTTCATTTTTTCTAAAACATTTTTTATATATATTTTTAAAATAAAAAATATGAGAACATATTATTATTATTATTATTATTATTATTATTATTAATATTATTATTTAATTACAATGTTTATAAAATAAAAACAACCTCTCTCATATACCAACGACAATACTGTGTGTACACATCAGCACCAAAAAGGAAAAAGAATTCACGGAGGGGAAAATGGAAGGAAAAGGAAAATAATCAAAGGAAAGTAATAAAAGGTAAGTTTATATTATTATTATTATTAGTTTTTCTTTTTTTTTTTTTTTTTTTTTTCAATATTTACTGAAAATTGACGGTATGTATACTGTTGATTAACGAGTCAACGGAATTTTTTTTTTTTTTTTTTTTTTTGCTTCACTGAATGAAAACAAACAAACAAACCATCGGTTCTTCGGAAATATTTTCAACTAATTTCAATACTATCATCGTTTGTAAGGCAGCCGCGGTTGTTAGCCTCGGAAATGGAGGACGGTCATTGCCAACTTTCAACAGGAAAATTATTAACTTCCGTTTGATCTTGTATTGTGTTTCCTTCGCTCACGTAAGATATTCGAATTCTCATACGAAGAGCTACCTGTCGTTTGAAAAAAACGTAAGAATTTTTTTTTTTTAAATAACCACCGGTGGAACTTTCAATTTTCCCTTTTTTTCCCCCCCCCTCCCCCGCCCGCCTCCCCGCTTTAAATTACCTTTGTTGGATTAATAAGCCTAAGAACTTGAGTTAGTTGTCCTAATGGAGCTATTGTTGTTCCCGATGGTGTCATCATTTGCAACTGTAACGTTTTCGGCACTGCAGCCTAAAAAAATTATTAGTTTTTTTAATTTTAAAAAAATATGAAAACATTTTCTTTTTATTTAATAATAATAATAATAATAATAATAATAATTTTTGTTTATCTTACTTGAAAAAGAAATTCCGTGAAATTTGATGAAGTTGAATTTGTTGCTACCATTGATACGACGGTTGTATCCGGACTATCATTTGGTCTTTCTAAATTAAATACAATTTTAAGACCGTTTTTATCGTAAGCCGTTAACGTCGGATTTGGAATCGTGTTAAACAATCCGTCCATTAAAATATTTGACGAATTCATATGCATAACATTATTATTATAATTAATGACTTGCGAATTAGGTTGACCGGTGACCGGTGAGCTTTTTTCCGTATTGCTTACGTCTAACCCTCCTAAAAATCAAAATCAAGGGGGGGGGAGGAGAGGGGGGTTTAAAAAACGTATTCAATCGAATTCACGAGGATTAAAATAATGAATATGATATTAACCCAAAAGATCGAGAAGATCTTGATTACTACTTATATTGTGCTTCGTAGGTTCTGGTTTATATGGCTCTATAACATCATCGTCGCTACCACCAAGTAAATCCAATAGAGTGTTCTGAAACATAAACGAGGGAAAATTTATTTATTAGTCATAAAGAAAAAGAATTTTTTTTTTTACGGAAAAATTTTTGTCAAAATTCATTTACCGAATCTTGATGTTGAACGGGAGAATGATCGTCTAATCCGCTATTGCTAAGATCTTCTTCTTCGACATCCCCATTAGTTATCGGGGGTCCATTATCGTTAATGGGTCTTGAAACTTCCATGGGGGGCATTCTTTCTAAAAGCGCTGGACGGAGGTGCTCGTATTTTTTAAATAATTGTGAAAATTCAACTCCTCTTTGTTGTAATTCAACGTTAAGATGGCAACCAAAAGTATCTATAATTTGCCTAATTTTACTGGGGGAGTAGGGGAGAAGGGGAGAAAAAAAAAAAAAGAAAAAAAATTTTAAATAAATTCAATTTTTAATATTTCATTCATTCGGATGTGAAAAACTGACTTTTAATGTAACGGTATACTACTCACTCTGTAGCTTTTTGAAACCTTGTGCTAAGTTTTGTAAGTGAAAGTAAAGTGTATTGTTTCGTCGTTACCGTGTTTTGTTGAGACCATAAAAGTTTCTGATATACGTCGATAATATCATCTTCCGTAACCTAAAAGAAAAATTTCAAAAATTTAAAATTAACAAACGTTTAAACTTTTTTTTTTTAACTGTCGTAATAATAATAATTTTTTTTTTTATTTCTTACATTAATAGATTTTTCCTCATCTCCTCCAGGTTGACTGTATAGCAATAAGTCACCGTATTCTCCAATGCACCAAGTTGCTATCTGAGTAAGAGGTTGCCTGTCTGCGGTATCTCTTTCCAATGCCTGCCACAATTGGCCCACCATATACGTTTGATGAGCGGTGCTCTCCGAAATCAATTGAATAGTGCAAGAAACGACATCATCTCTCACGTAGTTACCCGCCTGACATTTGTTTTTTTTTTTTTTTTTCAAAAAGGTAAGTTAATTTTAAATATATATTTTTTTTATATAAAAATTACATCAAAGATAAAACTTACGGCAACGAGAACTTTAAGTAAAGTATCTAAATGCCACCTTTTGTCGGGAGCAAATCTTTCCGCGGATAAAACAATGTTGGAGGAACATTGAGCTTTAAATTCAGGTTCGGCTCTTTCTAAAAACGTAATTAACTCTTTAACCATGGCTCGTATATTGTTACTATTAATCAGAGCAAAACTGAGTTCCATGGCTCGCCTACGTATCGATACGTCCGGGTCTTTCAAACATTCCAATATGGTAGATCGATGTCTTTGAACAGCACTTGTGTCTAAATAAACCGTTTTAAGTAGCGTGTTTAGGGCAACGTACCTACAAAATTAAAGTTACAAATGAAAACGAACGAAAAAGTAAAAATGGTAGCGAATTGGAAACATAGATTAGCATTATACCTAATATTTTTATCGTTATTTAAAAGGAAACGACCCAAAATATTTATTGCGAGAACTCTTAAACCGGATTCGGATTTAATGTCCATTATTGATAATACAGTTTCATATAAAATAGTATTTCCTACGTTTTTGCTCGTTTCCGTATTGGTAGCCACTTGAGCCAATATATCGTTCATTGTTTCGGATGCTTCCGCATCGTTTTTACCCAAAATACGAAGAAGGCGAAGGATTTTAACTTGAAGAAAAGGATCACTAACGCCGGAGACATCGTGCTCCGGAGAATATCCAGCCAATATAAGATTTTTTAATATTCTGACTAGATTTGGTACGATCTGAAAAATTAAAAAATTTTTACTTCCATTAAAAAATAACTAACAAAAAAAACCTTTACTTTAAAATTCCTGTTTCGGTTGATACGCCTATAATTGTTTAAATTATCATTTGTAAAATTCTAATAATAATAATAATAATGATTTTTTTTTAAATTTCATTATATTTAAAGCACCGAAATGGTGGCTATCTGTGGATAGAATTATAAAATGAACTATTTTTTTTTTTTTTTTTTTTTTATATATTTTCAAATATTGTGAGAAAAATAAAAATAATTTGTCGCATGCAGAACAGGCTCAATGAAAAACAGTTAGTTTCTTTCTTTTTGAAAATACTAACGAAAAAAATAAACTAACCGTAAAAATATGACAAAAATCAAATTTTCATTATTGTGGAATATTTTATTTTATTTTATTTTTTCAAAATAAAATGAAAGTTTTGAATGAGTGCCCCTCCCCCCCCTGTTTTAAATTACCCTATAAATCTTTAAATGTAATGAAATAAACCAAATACAAAATTAGAATTAAATCAATTAGATGTACCAAATTAACAACATGCGATCTTATTTTTAACAAAAAAAAAAAAGACATGCTTTCGGTAAGGATAACTTATAAGCCATTATAAATAATTATTAATAAATATAATTTATAAATTAAATAAATATTAAATAAATTTAACAAAGGACATACCTCTTGATGACCAAGGTCCTTGGTAAGTTAAGTATGGCATATAGTAAAATAAGGTTATTTTTTATAATATCAAAATTTGTATATATATATTCTAAATAATTATAAATACCATTTTTTTTTTCTTTTTTTAAAGGGCGAAAGTTTATTACAAGTTATATTACATTTTTTTTTTAGTTAGTTTTTTTTTTTAGTTTTTTTTTTTAGTTTTTTTTTACACAATTAATTAAAGCAATATTTTTGAATGATCTGCCAGGGGAATTAAAAGAGTGCTCAGGAATCACAATATGTGTTAAATATTAAACTACAAAACTCGAATGATAAGAAAATAAATAAAATACCTTTTTAAAATGTTGTAGAGTGTCTGGACTATGTTCGCACATTTCCGTGACAAGCGTGACACCCGTTATCAATACTCCGTGATTTTTTTCCGATAACAAAGATCTCGTGGCGGGAAGAAACATTTCCATTAATTCGGGAACTTTTTTTACGATCCTAAAATTTAACCATTCATCCTTTGTATCATTAAATTTAATTTATTTTAAAGCAATTTACATTATTTTAGGAATTTACCTATAAGCACATAATGCTGCTTTCTTTTTTATATATGTGTTTGGAGATTTGATCAATCTTTCTACCTCTGCAGCCAAATCTCTTGACATTTCAGGTGATGCAATGGCTCCTAATGTGCATAATGCAAGTCCAACAACAAACTGAGTTGAACTATTTAAGTCACTAATAAAAAATAAAAAAAATTAAGTAGACTGTTTTGGGAGAAACTTTAACTATCTTAGTTGATTTTAGTTTTACATATATGATTCTTACTTTTTTAAACAATTTGTTATGAGAAGATGAACATCTTGCCTCTCGTCTAAAAGCAACATTGCACCTAAATACCCAATTCTTTTATCTGTAAATCGAGGAGAAGCAATGAGTTTAAGACATTCCAATTGTCCAAAATGAGCTGGATACCCTAACATATGTATATAAAGCAATTTGGCAATATTTCTACATCTCCAAATACTGTCTTCTTCTCTAAATGTTGATCGAATGTAAGCACATTCTTTGTTAATAACAGATCGTTCTTCGGCAGCTGTTCTAGCAGCACGTATTTGTCTAATAAGATCTCTTAATCTCATAGGAGTTGGCATTCGTACTCTTTCAACTGCTTCATTAATAACTTGTTTAATTGTAGCCATATTAAAGGCTGGATTAAATCTATCAGAAAAAAAAAAAATGTATATAGAAATTTTTTGGTTAAAAAAATTGCTTAAAAAACTTAAATATTTGTTAATGTTAAAAAATAGAAGTTTAGAGTTAGGAAACTACGAAAATACCAAAAGACTTTTATTTCGGAATATTTTAGTGTTAAATGGAAAAAATTTTCTTATGAGTGTCATAAAACATCCAAACATTCTCATAATATTATTTTAAACTTGAACATTTTGGTAGAAACTAATAAAAATAGCCTAATAACTAATAAAAATATTTAGTAAACTCGATGAAAAAAAAAAGTAACCGAAAAAAGATAGAGCGAGAAAATTAAATATATGAAATTTTTATTACTTAATTAACATTCAAATCTTTGTAAATTAAATAATATAAATTATTATAAAAATTATCATCTAATACAATTCTAAAATATTATTTAAAATTAAAAAAACATTAAAAAAATTTTTTTTTTATTAGTTACAACTGATAATTTATAATCAGCTTTCTAAACCTAAATTGGGAGTATAATACAATTACATATTTGATATTTTACAATGAAATTAAATAAACAAATCATTATAATTGATATAGTTGAGTAATCACAATGACGCTGTGGTCATTTTCGAGACAACAATGAAAAAAAAATCTTACGGAGCAGGTGTTTTATTTATTATTACATATAAAGAAGCACCTGTGATCATTTCAACCAAAACGTATTTAAATAAATTATTCTTTTTCATATTATTCATCATAATTATCGTAATTTGTACGTTACCCGTGATCTGATGAATTCATTTTCTTCGAATATTAAAGTACAACTATTTGATTGAATTTTAAAATTTGAAAAATTTTTTTTAAGTACTATTCACTTTAACTTCAAGACCTTTAGGCAGATATGCCAACAGGCTGTGAACGCGTAAGAAATGATACAATTACTGTTTTACGGTTATTCATTAGAGTTTATGAAAATACAATACAACTAAATAAATTATTTTAGACATTCCCCAATGAGTTAACACTTAATAAAAACTACAAAATAAGAAAAAATAACAAAAATAACATTACACAGGTCACCCAACAAATGACCATCCCATAAAATTCAATATGGCTTAGAAAAGTATTGAGTCGTACAATCGCAAAGAATGTCGACAAAAAAATCAAATTTGTTAATGACACGACAGGTTGTAATAATTGGTTGTCGTTTTTTAAATTGTTATGCACGGATAATGATTTATTTAAAATACTTTTTATTTATGTTATCAGTGCTTGTATATATACGTTAAAAAATATTTTTTAACGATTTATTCATACTTTGTATCTAAAAACTTATTGAGCGATAAAAAGCTTTTACTTTAACATCTGATAATTTTTAAAATAAATTTCTTTTAGTAAATCAAAAACAAATTACGTCCATTGAAATTTTCTTTATTGTCTTAACTTGTAATTTAGAATTCTAATATTTTTGTATGTAAACATGAACTACTTTATTCAAATCTTGTCTTACAACGTTTTTGCCCTTTTTTTTTAAATAGAAAATTGCAGAAGAGTAATGATGCTGAATTAAATAGACAATTTAGGTTTAAAATAAAATTTTCTGTGTTTTAATTTTTTACAAGGAAATGTTAATTTTTGAACCTTCGATTTTGATCTGCTGGCAATATTCCATAATTAGAAAATTCTTCTGTCCACATTGAATAATTATTAACACAACTTGCCACATACATGTTCATACACTGCCTGCAAGTATTTTTTAATTTTACTGATAATTTTCTTATCATATCATGTGTTTGCTGTTTGATACATAGTGTTTAACAAAAAAAAATTAATAGCTGTAAATTAACTGTCATATTATATTGAGTGTAAAATTTTTAATTTTATGGCCAATAATTAAAAATAGAATTTTTAACTTTTTAATAAAATTTCTCATTCATCGTTTTTGAGGTATAATATTGATAATGATGATAAAATAATAAAATGCATTACAAAAATATGAAAAATTTTCTATAACAAATCACAGCCATCACTTTACCCTGCACAACAAAAGGAGAAATAAATAAATGTTTCATTTGTAATATTTCATATTTACTGTTCATTTAAAATTAAAAAAAAAAAATATTAAAATTAATTCACTTCTATAAATCTGTCATCTGAAATATTTTGAGGAAAATTATCATCTACTTCATTTGATTTGACTTTTCTTTGACTTTCACTATTTTCCCTGGCCTTTTCTCTTTTAGTTTTTATTAATATTCCATGACCTTGACAATCTGCTGGTATTTCATAACATTTAACTTTACAACAAGTTTTGCACAGCCTGAAGGCACATTTAAGACCCTAAAAAAAAAAGAAATTATTATTTGCATTAAGTATTTTTGTGTGAAAAATTTTTTAAAAGACTAATTAAAATCTAATATTTTTAGTTACCATTGGATTGGGGCATGTTTTACTGGAAGAGCAAATAACTATGACTCTTTTAACTCCGTTTGCCTTTTCCGGAAACCTTAATAACTTTTTGTGTTTTTTCTTTGACATTTTACTCTTTTCTTTTTCTGAATCCGCTCTCGGTCTTTTCGCCGATATCCCACCGTTTTCCCGCTCTAATTTCCTGGCTTCGTTTTGTTTGTTTTGTAATTCCGTCATTTTTTTAATGTGTTCTTCGGGAGAGGGTCTTTCATAGGGTTTGCACAGCCAAGGCGGTAAAACTAAATCGTAACTATCGCTATTTCTTTTCCATACATCTAGTCCTTCGTGAAACGGCTCATACCTTTCCCTAATTATTTTAGTCACATTACGAAAATCTTCCAAAGTGGATTTGTTGGCTAATTCTGCTCTCACGTCTTTATTATCGGGTTCGCACAAAATATGATGAAATATTTTAAATAAATGTCCTCTGATGTACGACAAGGGACACGGGTATTTTTCAACTAAATCTAAGTATTCCGTTGCCATTTCCCAAGATGGAGGATATCGACCCTCGAATATGGCAGGATTATAGAGATTCCCTTCGGCGGACATAACACCGTTGCACTTGGTGACTTCCAAACATCTAAATATGTCCTGAACGCATTGAATGTTACCATTTGCTAAAACAGGAATGCGTACGTTTTCCCTCACGGCTTTTATATGTTCCCAATTTGCAAGGCCTGTTAATGGTCCTTTTTGTTCTTTTGTGCGTCCGTGAACGGTCAACAATTGGCATCCCGCTTCCTCGAGCATTTTAGCATATTTTACCGTTTTCTTTACATCTTCGAAAACTCTTATTTTGCAAGTCACGGGTATCTTGAGTGATTTTTTTAACGTTCCGACTGCAATAGGATATCGATAAGTTTTTTTTTTTTTTTGTTTTTAAATCTCACGTGAAAGTAAAATGAAAAAATATTTAACAACTTACCGATTTCTTTGAGCAAAGGCCAATCGTCTTGTAAAAAAGCACCGTAGTGTCCTCGTTTCGCTATGGCTTGAGGACAACCCAAATTTATATCTACGGCATCGCAATAAGGCTCCGCAAGCTGTGCGGCTTTCAAAATAGAATCAGGTTCATTACCACAAAATTGAACAATTAAAGGTCTATCTTCAGGCACGGAAGCCAATCCTTCTTTTCTATACCTTTCATTATTAGCAAATATAAGACTGTGAAACATTGGAGTGTAACATAATTGAGCACCGTGTCTTCTGCTTAACAAACGCCAGGCTAATTCGCTTGCATCTACCATTGGGGCAACCACAAACCGGGGACTCCCAAGTTTTTTCTCCCAAAACTCATTCATCATTACTCATTCTGTAAACTGAACATAAAAAATTAAAATGACGGTTAAAAAAAAAAAAAAAAAATCGATTGAAAATTTTTAATGACGTTAAGTAGTAGTTTTACAAACGATTTTCACATAATGCATTTTTAATATATTTATTATTATTATTTTTTTCCTATTGATTTTTACTAGTAAAATAAAAAAAAAAAAAGACAATAGAAAATTCAGTGCGAAAGGATATTATGAATAAAAATTAATAATAATAATAATAATTTGGCAAAGTTAAAATTTTATTATTATTTTTATTATTATTTTTACACACACACAATCCATTTGTAAATTGACAAACGTACATATGGATGGATCGATCGATACAAATAACACTTAAACCTTTAATATAATAATAATTTTTTTGGCAATTATCAACCCTGAGGAAAATTTCTAGGGTGAAATAAGCAATCGTGCCAACAACAAAAACAAAAAAAAAAACAACAATTCAAACTTTAATTTTTTTTTTTTTTTAAAGCAATGAATCATATAAAATGTTTAGGGCGTACTAAATAAATATTTACAAATTTTTTTTTTTAATTTTTTGTTCTCATAACATTTTCAATGATCGTATACCTCCTAATCTTCTAAATTACGTAAAAAAAAAAATAATTTTACATATTAACATATTAGTTTTTATCTCAAGTAGTTTTAGTTCAAGTTTGAAACGTTTTATTTATTCAATACTCAAAAGATTAATATTAATAATAATAATAATAACGACAAATTTAAAAAAAACCAAGAATTACGAACGTGATGTATATATATATGTATATAATTTTAATAAATGTCGTAATGACGTCACACGAATTATTGTGATTTAATAATAAAACACGTTTTAAACCACGACACACACACACACGTATAAAAACACAAAAAAAACCTAATTTTTTTTTTTTTTTGGGGGGGGAAGAAATAATAATAATAATAATAATAAAATCAACCGATATAATTTATAAAACACAAAGAATTCAAAATTTTTTTGATCGTAAATAATATTAATATAATTTATTAGGATACAACATCCGTCGACACGTTACTAATATATAATTAATTATTTTTTCATTGACATATTTAAAATATTGAATTCGTTTTTTTTTTTTTTTTAAATTTTGATTTATATCTTTTTTACATCACCCGATTAAAAAAAAAAAAAAAAATTCAAATCTAATAATTTATAAACATCAATAATAATAATAATAATAATTTTTTTATTTAATAACGAAATGAAATTTTTAAATAAAAAATTACCAATGCACACACACACACGTTTTCTAAATCAAATAAACAAAACTTTTTCTTTTTCTCTTCCTTTTACCACACCCCCCCAAAAAAAAAAAAAACCTCTCATCGTTACGTAATACATTAAAACATCTACAACTAACCAACTAACTAACTAACTGACTACCTGGACGTTAAATTCAATAATTTTTTTTTAAACATTTTATTTGTTTATTTATTATTATCCCATGAGTGACTTGACGCAAAAGGAACGATAAGAACCTTACTCTGATAAGGTACGTTAACGAATTTATTATTATTTAAAAAGAAAACACGACCCCCCCCAAAAAAATAAAATTTAAAATCATCATTAAATCGTGGATTATCGTTGTCCATTGATTGTCGCAAAGCAAAAAAAAAAAAAAAAATTTTTGTCGTTTCAATTACATTTCCAGGACGGATATTGTATTCAAATATTCTATTATTCGTTTCTAATTTTTTTTTTTTTGTTTGCAATTATGAGGGTGAGGGGGGAAGTTCAAACTTACTAACGCAATCGTTTACTACTACTAATGCCTATTGATTTTTTTTTGTCTGTCATACCTTTTCCACCCGGTTAAGTGTATTTCAAATCAAATAAATTAAAACAATAAAAAAAAACCGACCGCGTTCGTTGAACACACCTTTTTTTTTTTAAATAGATAAAAAGAATTATGGCCCTAGAAAACCAATAAATAAATAAAAAAAGAAACCTTTCACGCGAATAAAAAGGAACTCCCTTTTTTTTTTTCATGTCAATAACAAAGTAAAAATTTTAATTAGGTTATTGTGTCTGAAAATTTATATATACATTCCCGTAGGAAAAAAAAGATTTCAAAAACAAACGTTTCGGGAAATTGTAAAGAAACATTATTATTATTATTATTACTGTTACGACGAGGGAAAAATGTTTAATTTTTAATTTTAACATCAATCCATTTTTTAGATTTAACTTTAGACGGTTTCAAAACAAATATTTGCTGTTCATCATCCGGCATATTAGAGGAATAAATTTTTCTAGGAAGTTGAGGAGTTTGAAGGATTTCTTCGCTTTTATAATGTCTGTTTATCATTGGATTTGAATGTACGACAACTTCATCGTCGTCGTCGTCATCATCATCCGAAGAAGAAAAAGATGATGAGGACGAGGACGATGACGAAGAATTTGGATTCGATAGAAAAATCATGGATGTTTCGGGTGAGGGTGGCCGGTAAAAAACGGGAGATTGCGGCAAAATAAAATTTTCCCGTGGGGAACCCGGATTCGATAAACCCGATTCTCGAATGGGAGAAAGTATAGGGGATCGCGATTTTTTCAAAACGTTTTTCTTTCGTATTTTTCTATAATTGGCCGATTTCATGCTCACTTGAATCGCGAATTCGGATTCCGGCCTTTCTCTTAATTCTAACGAGCTATTTAATTTTTTTACATCAACGGAATTTTTCAATTTTCCAACGACGGATTCGTTCAATTCGGGCAAAACTTTATTTTTTATTGTCATAAAAGATTTGAGATCGACGTGATCGGAGTAATTTTTAATGGCGTTTTCATCATCGTCATCATCATTGGAATATCTATTTAATTCTTCGGCGATGCTCGGTTGAATTTGATTGTTTTTAACTTTCGTAGTAGTATTTTCAACACCCGGTCGTCCATTTAAAACTTTCGAAAACCACGAATGCAAATTCACCGAATAAAGTATAGTTTTATTAGTAGTTTTTTTTTTAATTTCTTCGTTTTCATTTTCTTTCGATGTTTTTTTTTTCAAATGAACACAATCCTTTTCATTTTCACATTTACAAGTTTCAGCCTGAGTTTTTTCATTAACCGAATAAAAACGTGAACACATAAATTTCGATTCGTCGGATTCTATTTCCGTGGTTCTTTCGTCGTTGAGCGTTATTAAAAAAGGTTTAATAACTTTATCGATGAATTCAGGATCTGTATTTTGGCGACTTAACGGTTTTGGCGGACCCGTTTCTCCATTTTTAAGAAAATATTTCGTCCTTGTAAAACAGAGTTTTGTTCGTATGCAACAATTTTTTTCCTTACCGTTGGAACAATAAGAACAATTGTAACGCGAGCACTTTTTTATTCCGCACAAAGTCCCGTCATTGGTTTTTTGTATGCCGTCTAATTGATTAGACATAACTTCTTTTTTTTTTTTACGAAAGCAATTGAAAATGACTATATTTCGATGAGAACTTTCACTACCTTCATTACGATAATTTCGAATGTATTCGTAAGTGCTGATACCTAATATAGATATATAACAATGAAAAAGGCACAAATGAAGCAACAATCCAGCTATAGTCGCTGATATTATTCCTAAAATTATAATCACTCCTAAAAAAACGAAATTAGGTAAAAACGGGTAAATACTATTATTATTATTATTATTATTTGTACCGTGCGACCAAAATCCCAACAGTTCTGGATCAATATGGTAGTAAACTACTTCTAAAACGGATACTCCGACAATGACCAATGATGCGACAACCGCTGAAATCACGCAAATAAGAAATGGCACGTAATTTCTTTTACCGATACAATGATTCAACCATTTGCAATGATGATCGAAATGATCGATGCATTTATTACAAACACTACAATGTTTTGTTTTAGAACTTGACGTTTTAATATTACACAAGTGACACCGACCGTTTTCAATAACGTGTGCATGTTTAGAACGATCGAATTCCGGTATCGTAAATTTGATTTTGAGAGATCGTAGTTCGGGATCAGCAGGATCCAAGAGTAAAGCCGTGAGATGAGATAAAATGTGAAGGAGAAAAAGAGTTCCCAACAAAATGTAGAGGCCCTCGCGAAAGAAGGGACGCAATGCAGGTATGAGTACAAAAAAAGTCGTGGCTCCTATCGCTACGAGAATGATCCAACCTGCTATTTGCTGAGGATGAAGGGGAAGCTGCAATCCATGTATTCGTCGCCATTTTCTATATTCGGGAGGTCCTACGCGACTTTGAAATGAACAAAATGAATGTATAACTTTTTCTTCTTTTTTCTTTGTGATTTCCGCATCGTTTTTTTCAACGTCTGACTTATTGCTACTCCTCCCATCTCTGTCATCGTTATTTGAATTATACCGTTTTTTAATTATTTTCATTTCAAAATTTTTATTTTCGAATGATTCGTTATTGTTGACATTTCAAATATCAAAAAATTTCGCGAGAGTCTCAAACGTTCCTTTACGTATTTCATGTGTAAAACTTTAACTTTAAAACATTTGTAAAAATTAATCATTTTCAAATATATTATTAAACCGTCAACAAAACTTAATATAATAAAAAAAATATGTCAAAAAACACAATTGGATTTTTTTTTTTTAAAGGCACAATAAACCGCCTGCTAAACCATTATTATTATTAGTTCTCACGGTACAAAGATTAAATTTGCAGCACATGAGCGAAATGAAAAAAACAATGCGCCGTCGTCTAAAGGCTTTTATTGATTTTCTAAATGCCATTTTTCCTTTTTTTTCTTTTTTAGTTCACAAGTGGAAAGGGTAAAAAAAAAAAAAAAAGTATTTTAAATAACTTATTAAACTTATTAAAATATTTAAATAAAAAATAAATTTTACCAGTGATCAATAATAATAATAATTTTTTTTTTTGGCTTGAATTTTATCTATATTCAAATAACAATAAAAATTTTTCTTATTAACCTCATGTTTAATTAATTATTATTATTATTAGTAGTAGTAGTAATAAAACAAAATAATCATTATAATGCAATTTAAAAGTAGTAGTAGTAGTGTGGGTCGAATAAAAAAAATTTTTTTTTTTTTTTTTCAAAGTGTGTCACATTTTCATTTTGAAACCTTATATAATGATTAGATGCATTAAGATTACCCTATAAGATACATTAATTTTTATGTAAAAAAAAAAATTATTACTCGAATTAATATTTATATTAATTTTATAATTACTCGAAAATAATATTATGTATTAAAAATTTTTCAGAGTGAATGACTTGGATATGTTTGAATTTAATGAAATATAAAAAAACTTTTTAACTTACACTTAATACTATTAAGTCAAATAATGTTTTTTATTTTAGAAATCTTTGCAAAAGAAAATTTAAAAAAAAATATGCGACTTTATCGAGCTACTAATCAAGTTTCAGTTTCTTTAGTCATTTTATATTTTACAAAACACAAATGGTCAAATAATTTGGGTTATTTTAATTATGAAATAAGTTAATAAATTTAATGATTAGTATATATATAAAGCAACTATTTAAAAAATTAAATAAATTAATTAATAAAATAATAATATTAATCTTTATATTCGAGCTATTATTATTCGATATAATTTTAAAAAGAAATATTATTAAGAATGCTACAAATTAAAGAAGTAACAGATAGATTGTCTCGATATTTCAATTGAGAAATACTTTAATACATTGGAAGAATATTTATCTTTAAATATCAGTATAAAACATAAAAGAAGAATTTTATATCTATTCCCACAATATTTTGTTTTGTTTTTTTTTTTTAAACCTAATATTTTTTTATTTAACGTTTACTAGCACTCGTAAAAAATTGTTTATAATAAACATTTAAATTTTAATAAGATAAATGTGACTTTTTCCAACGAAATAACATTAAAAAGAAGAAATAAAAATCTATTTTTCAAATGCAAATTACAATGAAAAAAGTAAATTTTTTTTTACAAAAAAGGGTTAACATATTTTATAATTTAAACACTCAGTCAAAAAATTAATTAAATAATAAATCGTAAAAATGTTAACATATATTGGTATAATAAAATATAAAGAATTTATAACTTACAAATATCATAGAAATTAATATCTAATGTAAAAAATATAACGAAACTAATTTAATCACTTATTAAAAACTAACATGTATAATGGTAGCCATTGCAAAACCACAGCCTTCTTGTAACATTACGTTCTTCAAAAATGTCAAGCTTTAAGTTTTTTAAAATAAGAAGCAAACCATAACTTTTATTGTAGTAAGTTAATTTCAATTAGTTTTTGTTTTTTTACCCAATAATTTAACATTTATCAATTCTATCAGATTTTTTAATTTATATTTAAATTATCTAATAAGATTTTATGTAAAAACATAATATTTTAAATAATTTAAAAAAAATAAGAAAAAATTTAACTTTTGGTACCAATAATTTTTTTCCAATTTAATACTCAGCTTAATATTAAAATTTATTTTATTTATTATAATTAAATTTTGAGTAAAATACTCTTAAAAGGTAGAAGATTAATATAAAGAGGTATAAATACGTATATTTTTATAAATTATATATTTGCCCGTGATTATAAGTAGGAGAAAACCTTGAAAAAATATTATCCTACACATGAAAAAAAAAAAAAAAAACCATTTTAACTAATTAATTTTTTTTTGTTTTTATTTGTTAAGTGGATTGAAATAATATAAAAAGTATATAAAAAGGTTTTAAATACTTTTAATAAGTTTTTCTTTTTTTTTTTTTTTTTTGCGGTTTTAAATGATAAGTAAAATGAACAAAAATCTCGTTGAAATAATGTTTAAAAAAATGGAAAAAAAATGGCGGCTTGTTAATTTTTTTTTTTTTTTAAATTTGTAAATGTTTAAAAATTACTATATAAAGACTTTTCTATACATTTGTATTATTTTTTACAATTTGTATTGAATTGTAATTAATTCTAATTTTAAGTAAAAATTCCCCCAAAAAAAAAAAAAATTGACTTTTTTAAAAGGGGGGGCGGGAAAAAAATGATGTTACCCAGTTATTCATACTAGGCTAATTAACCAATTGTTTAAAAATTTTTTTTTCTCTCTTTCTCTTTCTCATGTTTTATCATATTCATGTCACTTGATTTAATCAAAATTATTATTATTATTATTATGCGGAAGGAAAAATTGATACAAGGTTTTTTATGTAAACTACTCATGATATTATCAAACCACACATAATATGACATCATATTTACTAACAAATTTTTTATTTTCATTTGTTGATAATTAAAAAAAAAACATAATTCAATTGTTTAATAAGTTTGGCTATCAAACTTTTTTTTTTTTTTTTTTTATAAATTTTTAAATTGAATGAAAATTAATCGATGATATAAAAATACAAAAAAAAAAAAAATCAAATCAAATAATTTAATTGATGGTTGTATAATTAATTTTAATAATAAAAATAAAAAAAAACATTTAAAAATATTACATAAATAGTAATAATTAAATTTCTTTTTTTTTAATTTTTATTTTTAAAATTAATTTTTAATATAAATTCAAAGTTACGTTAACTTTGTTTGTGGCTAGAGAAAAAAAAAGAAAAAAAATTTATTTGGGAAGCGAATTCTGGGAAAAAAGATTAAAATACGAGAGAAATATGTACGTGCCTTAGGGATGGTGGGAAGGGAAGGGAAGGGTGGGTAAGTTAAAGGGAAAGGATAAAAACCGTTCGATTCGAGAAAAAGCTGTCGCGAACCGGAAAAGCTTTATTTCCCTGCCTCACAATATATACAATCCGTTATCGTAGTCGTGGACCATTCTTCGTCTCGTTAAGGTGAAAAAAACGTGTTGCGCGATACAATTTTCCCTTTTTTTACTCACACACACAAACACACAAGGCCCTGCGTAAAATTTTCAAAGTTGAGGTTATCAGTTACGAAAGCTCTCTCTCTCTCTTTCTCTCTCATTAACAATAACATCTTTTTTTTTTGTTTAATTATATATATATATATTTATTAAATTTACTTATCGGGTAAGTCATATATATTTTTTTTAATCATTCCAAAAAAAAAAAAAAAAAAATTTATATATATATGTGAAAAATCAATTTTTTTAAAAAATGACTTTATTAATTATTATTATTATTATTCTTTTATTAAATAGTTAACAACAATTATAATTAATTAAAAAAAATCTCTTTCGTTAGAAAAATTTTTTTATATTTGAATACTACGTCATATTAATTTTTTTTTTTTTTTTTAATTCCGAGGGTAAAAAAAAATTTTTTTTCTTGGTATTAAATATTTAAAAAAAAAAAAAGAAAATTCTATGAATTTTTAATTTTCCGACAAAAGGATTTAATATATATTTATAAATATTTATATTAATATCGTCTGATGTTAAAATTTTTTTTTTTTTGAAATTCATATTCGCGAAAGAAAAAAAAATTTTTTTATAAAAAAAAAACCGAATTTTTAAATAATATAAACCGGCAGTAATATTTTATTACGTACTGAACTTATATATTATTATTTTTAAATATATTAATAATAATAATAATAATTAAATTTTTGTCATTGTAATTGTAAAAATTATTTTTATTTGAATCGCGTTACGGTGAAAAGAATTTTCTATACTAATAATAATAATAAAATTTATTATTAATAATAAAAATAAATTTAATTAAAAAAAAAAAAAAAAAAACAGGTGCAAGGTATTCTTTTGATTTAACTATACTCTATCATCATCCGTTCGTCGTCTTTATTTTTTTTTTTAATTAAAAAAGGCTAAAATAAAACCGTAAATTAAATTTATTTTTTTATTTTTTATTTTTCCAACTTCAATATATTTCTAACAAGGAAATTGCATATAATATTACATATACGAATTCGATCCTAATTTTCTTTTTTTTTTTTTTTTTTTTTTTTGTAAAGAAAATTTTTGATTGATTTTTCCTTTTAACTGTTTAACAAAAAAAAAAAAAAATTGGTTAACGAACCTTTTCTTTATAATTTTTCTTATTGCGATAATAATAATAATAATAATAATAATAATAATAATAATAATAATAATAATAATAATAATAATAATTTATTTATTTATGGTTAAAACTAAAGGGAATCTTTAAAAAATTAAAACTTTTTTTTTGTTTTCTCTCGGTTTTGTAATTAATAATAAAAGAATTTTATTTTTATTCATATTAATAAATAAATAAATAAATTGAAAACTGATGCAAATGTTTTGTTTTTAATAAACAAAAAACAAAAAAATTATTTTTACATCGAATATAAAAAAATAAAAAAATATATATATTAGGTAATTTTAAAAAAGAAAATCTTTTGTTGTTATTATTATTATTATTATTATTATTATTATTATTTTCATTATCATTATTTTTTCTATTATGTTCTTTTCTTTTTTTTTTTAATATTCTTGTATAAACTCATGCATTTAAAAATCTTTTCAGTTATTTTTTACCCCCCTCTCTCTCTTTCTTTCTTTCTTTTTACTTTTGAAAAATTTATTAAAAAGAAAGGGAAAGAAA